CACAGTGGACAATCACTTCAGGCTGAAACACACAAACACAGTGGACAATCACTTCAGGCTGAAGACTTGTTCTCATTGTTTTTCTCTCTTTCCTCCATGTTACTGTCAGATAATTTTTGGTCAAAGGTTATGGATGTTTTTATTGTGTTTCATTACGGTGATTGAGAACATTCTTCCCCTGTACTCTGAGAACAAGGAGCGGCTAAGATGGAGAGATGGCGATGGAGAGGAGGAGAGGATATCTCAGATAACCATGAACCATATGTTTGTGTAGATGAACATATACTGTGATATATTCATAAATTAAACGGATTCATTCATTTTTCTGGACTGAATAATATCGTGCATTGAATTTAATTAAATGTAACGTGAGGCGTTAATTTTCTTTGACCCATCAAATGAATGTGGTCATTTATTAACAGAATCAAAGTTTAACATCACACATTTACATTAATTTGGCAAAATTGAAAACAACAACAGCTTAATTAATCAGCTTTACAACCAGGAAAACCATCCGGCCATGATTTTCCTTTGCTTCACAACAGACATTTCTGAAAAATATCTGGAATGATTTCTGGCAGATAGAAGAGTTTTAAAGATGGGAAAATGAAGTTTAGAGGGAGGGAGATGGTGTGTGAGGGAAAGTGTTGAACAGAACGGCACCCTCCATTCGAACCCAGCTTTCCTCGGTACGCTTCGGTAGTAAACTCGCCTCTCTGACGATGAATCAGCGGATACGGAGTTCCAGTTAACGCTACCGGTCCAGCATCTCCGTAGGATGGCAGAGAACCGTCCGGAGTGGTGGCGGTACTTCATCAACAACAGTTCACCTCACGAGTGGACTCACATGAGTGGAGTCCTTCAGAAGTTCCACTCAGATGTGGAAGATTGCATAATTCCCACGAGACTCGGATGAACTCCGGATCATGCCTGAAACTCCTGTTCTCCCCAGCACTTCTTGTGTTAGGTTTGCTCTCCGAACCGAACTCGACTGGGCTCGACTGCTCTCGACTGAACGAACTCAGGCTCTGCAAACGACTGAACGAACTGGTTTAAACTAGGAAGTGCCGACATTTAAAGAGTTCTATTTCCGGTTCATTTGGGAAGTTCCTGATTGGCTGAAATAGCTAATCAGGGGTGTGTTTTTGTGACGTAAGAGGTCACTAGAAGTCAGAAAAACAGAAAAATGTTTTGGAACAGACTGGAAATGTTTTAGAGACAGACGAGAGAAATGTTTAGACGAGTTGGGGGAAAACAGGTGCCAGCTTCTCTATATTACGTCTGAGAGGATTTAAAAACATGACAGTTCGTTCCAACAACTTGTTTTGCGTTTGACTCCGACATTTGACCGACATCACAACTTGCTCATTTCAGACAGAAGATCAGAAAATGCATGAATTACTCCGTAACACATTCCAATTTGATTTTCACTTTGAATGAGGATTAAAAAATCACTAATACTGTTTCACAGTTGAACTAAAATGAGTAGTTCACTTCAACATTTTAAAAATGGTTTGAACTAAACACATTTTGATTATCAAACATTTGTAAAATAGTAATGATAATAAAAAAGAGAGTGTTCTTTCAATTGATCAGTGCAGGACACTTAGAAAGTCTCTGGATGAACTTAATCTTGTGTTTCTGGACTCAAATCAATGAAATACAGTTCTTGTCCCAGGAAGGCCAGATTTGACCTGAGGCTTAGTTCACTACATTTGTGATGTGCAAGAAGACTGCAGCTGGCTTCAAGGACACCCCCTGAACTATGTTGAACTCTGCTGAGCTGATAAGGTTATAAAAGCAAGCAGATGATGTAGCTTGGGGCTAATTTCTGTGACAGGTTTTCATGCAAGCACACACACACACACACACACACACACACGCACACACACACACACACACACATAGGGATTTTAAACAACTGTTATGCAAAAATTAATGTTCCAGTTTTTAGTTTTTTTTTTTTCATTCAACCTTAATTTATAGAAGTTAGTCTCATCTTGTTTTACACCATGTTATAATGTAGCTTGTTTTTATTTTGTTTGATATTGCTTCCTTTATTTGCTTTTCATTTTATATGCTTTTACATGATTGGAGCAACAACACCACCAGCCTGATGAAGAAAGCTCATCAGAGACTCTACTTCCTCAGGCGGCTGAGACGAGCTGGTCTGGAAGCTCAGTCCTCACCACCTCCTACAGGTGTGCAGTGGAGAGCATCCTGTGCTCCAGCATCAACGTGTGGCATGGAGGCTGCACAGCTGCAGAAAGAAAAGCTTTGCAGAGAGTGGTGAAGGCTGCACAGAAGATGTTGGAGTCAGCCTCCCCACCATCACAGACATCTACACCTCCAGATGCAGGAAGAGGGCCACCTGCATCATGAAGGACCACACTCACCCAGCACACACACTTTTTGTATTTGTAGTTCATGTTTTTCTTAGTTCTTATCTTAGATCTTATCATTGTTTTTCTTTTACATTTTATTGTTGGATGTAACTGGGACCCTGTGTAATAATTTCGCTCCACCACATGTGGTGAGAATGACAATAAAATAATCTCTGACTCTGACTCTAAAAATAATGGGTCTTGAGCCTGCTCTTAAAAACAACAACATTCTCTGGGGCCCTCAGGTCTGTCGGAGCGGCAGACTATTCCACAGACGGTGGCCATAGTACTGGAAAGAAGTCTCACCATAAGTGTGAGTTCTGACTATTGGAGCTGTTAGTAGTCCAGTGCCAGAGGACCTTAGTGTCCGCAGGGGTTCATAAGGTAATAGCAGCTGTGCAAGATAAGATGGTGCGAGATCAATGAGACATTTAAAAACCATTAAAATAATCTTAAAATCAATCCTGAGGTGCACAGAGAGCCAATGCAATGATCTAAAAGCAGGTGTAATATACCATACCATACCACTTTATTTATAAAGCACTTAAAACAGCTACAAGGCCAACCAAAGTGCTGTACAGACAAAACAAAAGGGAAAACACACCAAGCAAAATACAAAATGAGGTAAATCAGAATATAGACATAAAAACGATGCAGATAATGACGACTAACCAGTGTGGAGCATACAGGATCAAAACACAGATCATCTGGTGTTGAAAGCTACAGAATAGTAGTGAGTTTTTAAACGGGACTTGAAAACCGAGAGGGAGGGGGCCTGTCTGACAAGCAGAGGTAACTCGTTCCAGAGTCTTGGTCCTGCTACAGAGAAGGTCCTGTCACCTCTGCGCTTAAGACGAGTTCCTGGAACTGTGAGGAGCAACTGGTCCGCTGACCTCAGGGAACGTGGTGGGACATACGGTTGTAGCAGATCAGAGAGATGGGGGGGGGGGGGGGGGGCAACACTGTTCAGTGATTTGTAGACATACATGAGTATTTTGAACTGGATTTGAAAGTGAACTGGTAACCAGTGCAGTGAGGCCAAAACTGGTGTAATGTGCTCTCTTTTGCCTGTACTGGTTAAAAATGGGGCTGCTGCATTCTGGACCAGTTGTAGTCGTGCAATGGAGGTCTGACTGATACCAAACAGGAGTGAGTTGCAGTAATCAAGCCTAGATGTAATGAATGCATGTATTACTGTCTCCAGGTTCTTTTTGGACAATATGGGCTTCAGTTTAGACAGCCGCCTCAGTTGGAAGAAGCATGATTTAACAATCATGTTTACATGATCGTTAAGTTTCAGGGAAGGGTCCATTATCACTCCCAGATTAGTGATTCTTTGTTTTTCTGACAGGGTTAGAGTGGAGAGGTCGATGCAGTGGTTTGTGATCGTGTCGTTGGGAGGGAACTGCATGACTTCAGACTTCTTTTCATTGAAACTTAAGAAATTTAAAGCCATCCAGTCCCTGATGTCAGCCAGGCAGTTGAGCAGCGGTTGAATAGAGCATGTACCATTGTGTCTTAGGGGGAAGTAAATTTGACAGTCATCGGCATAGAAGTGGAAGGGCATGTTGTGTTTCCGGAAAATAGCACCAAGCAGCAGCAGGTATAAAGAGAATAGGAGGGGACCCAGGATGGACCCCTGCGGAACCCCACATTTAAGCTCTGCCTCTGCGGAACTAAAATCCTTGATGGAGACACAAAAGGATCTGTCAGTGAGGTAAGATCTGAACCAATTGAGGGCTGATCCTGTGACGCCCACCCACTACTCCAACTTAACAATGAGGATCTCATGGTCAATGGTGTCAAAGGCGGCTGTGAGGTCCAACAGGACAAGCAGCACAGAATCACCGGTATCTGTGAATCTGAAGATGTCGTTAAAGACCTTCAGCAGGGCAGTTTCAGTGCTGTGGAGAGGTTTAAAGCCAGATTGGAAAAGCTCTAAGATGGCGTGATTCTCCAGGAAGCACTTCAACTGGGATTCGACCATTTTCTCCAGTACTTCAGAAACAAATGGGAGTTTGGAGACAGGCCGGTAGTTGGAAACGACTGAGGGGTCAAGGTTTTTTTTTTTTTATTCAGGAGAGGCTGGACAGCGGCATGTTTAAAGGATTTTGGCACCACGCCAGTGGATAAACTACTGTTTACTGTAGCAAGAATGGATGGACTTAAGAGTTGGAAACACATCCTTTAGTAATCGAGGGGGGACCACATCAAAGGGGGAACCAGAAGGTTTCAAGCTGCACATGACCTGCTCTAGAGAAGATAGAGTCATGGGTTCAAAATGGTCAAAAGGAGCTACAGATTGAGGTGGGATGGATGGGTCATAAATTGGAGGGGAAATGAGAGCCCTGGTGGTCGCATTTTTTTCCACAAAGAAATGTAAGAAGTTGTTGCACAGCTCAGTCGAGGCTTCCAGAGGTGATGTTCAGTGAGGTGGAGAACAGAGTTTAGGGTGGAGAAGAGGACACGTGGGTTGTGAGAGTTTGAGGTAATTATATCAGAGAAGAATTTGGATTTAGCAGCTTTTACTGTTTTCTGATAACAGCGCCAACTCTCTTTAAGTATTTGAAAAGAGACCTGC